CCCGCCGAGAGCCTCCTCCAGCGCCCCCGTCCTGGCAGATCCCGAGGTCCCGTGATAACGCCAGCGCTCCGAGTACTGCGAGAGGTCCCGAATCGTCCCCACGGAGAGGGACTTGTGAGCGACTCGTTTTCCCCACATCGAGGCGTCACATGCCAGGACCCTGGGACTGAAAGGCTTGGCCAGATCATGGACGAGGAGGGGCAACAAAGACTGTATCCAGCGGAGCTCCCTAACGACCGACGGCCAGAACGGAGCAGAGTCCTCGGGGTGCTTAGCCACGAAAGCGTAGACCGCGTTGAGGCAGCAAAGGGTTTCTCTTTTCACCAGCGCCATGGAGACAAAGTGTCCGACGAGCCGAGAAAGCTGACGTCCAGTCCCCTGGCGGCGCTCCAGTGCGTGAAAAAGTGCAAGCCATGGACGCCATACGCGGCGCCCCTTCGGCACAATACACCTATCATCTCGACGGAATTCCCAACCCAAGGCCTCGAGAACCTCTGGATCAAACCTCTTATCATGAACGATGAGACCCCTCTCCTCCATGATGTTGTTGATTTTTGTTTGGATGGACCTCCCCTTTTCCTCCTGGGTACTTATGGTAATGATGTTGTCCACGTAAGGTATAACCGCCCCCTCCTCCAACTTCGGAATGACCTCCCGATCCGTGATCAGGAAGTGGTGCTTATCTGGGATCGCCTCCTGGATCAACGAAGTGACGACGCACTGACAGACATTGACAGCGTGCGACCACCCCATAGGTACAGCCCTGAACCGCGGGTAAACACGAGTAGTAGGATCCACTGGGACCCCAGACACCTCCGAGATCTGCAAGTCCTTGGCACTGAGGGGCTCCATGGTGAAATACCTCCTAAGGGGGTCGGGGAGTTCCATAGCATAAAAAGCATCCTTCAAATCCGAGGAAAACGTGTGCAACAGACTTTCCCCCTGGAGCCTCAACCTCGAGAAAGCGTTAGCCGTGGGGAGGTCGGGCGACTCGGGGACCTCAAAACTACAATTGGAAATCCGAGCGTCCAGGATGAGGCGTTGCTTCACCCCGTCCGACTTCCAAACCGCAAAGATCCCCGTTCGGACTCCATCCGTTAAACTGAACTCGACGAGCCCCGCGGCCTGAAGGCGAGCCACGAGAGACTTGTACACCCTTTTAGAACGCAGACGTGGGTCACTGTACGGCCTAACTAGACCAGCTTCCTCACGA